TTAGGTAAGAAACAGCCATGAATCTCCCTTCTCTAGCTTTAATTGGCTTGGGTTTACTCTAATTTCCCTTGATTTCTCCAATTTCCGGTAGATTCCCCTTGAATTTCCCCTGCACTGCCGCCGGCTTCTTCCCTCCACCAGGCCCGGTTCTGCAGCTGGAAAATTGTGGTATGTGGCAACTTCTTTAAGTGCAAATTTTAGTCATTTAATTGCTGCCCTGTGTGTCCGAAATTCTAGATTAATTAGGGGAGAAATTTGATAGTAATTAGACCATGATTTAGCTTAATTCAAGTGAGATTTATGTGATTGAGTGTTAATTGATTGCTGTGATTTGTGGAGAGAAAATCCCATGAATTAGGTAGTGTTTTGGCCAACTTTTGGAAGTGCAGTCACTGTTTATGGCACTGTTGATGGCACTGTTCACACACTAATGGCCAATAATTAACGGGGATTTAAATGTTTAGTTTGTAATATAAGAATAAATTTGGAGATGTTCAGTAATGTGAAGATTGATAGGAATAGCATCGTAATTAGGGGGTAGTTCTAATGATGATTTTACTTTGAATTCGTGATAGTACGATATTAATTTTGGGGTATTTTGATTAGGTTCTTGATCGTTCTGTTAGTTTAGCACTCAGATTGAGTCATCGGTTTATGCGAGTGAGGTAAGTAAATTTATGGTAATGCCCGTACAGTTTTTAAAAGCATATTTTGATTTGTTTTTGAAGTGGTGGCGGAATTAAACCAATTTTATATAAAAGTAAGTATGACTGATTTGAAATGAAATTTCTATGCTTTTCATTAAATTAAGCATGTCTACTTGAAATTTAATTGATTGTCCTGATGATTTGAAAGTGATTGGTGAATTAAGATTTTTCTGTTAACTTCTGCCTATTTTGTCTCCGATGTGGTTATGTTATTAATGATCTTGCTAGTGGGGGTTAAACGCTAGCACATGTCGACATGTTAGTGATAGAACCGGTTCGTTCAAGTGTAGCCTGCCAGTGGGAAGTTTAATACACTGGCCATGACCTATAGAGGAGACGTTTATTTCGTTCCCATATTGTAGCCGTTTTTCGTGATTGCACTTGTTGGCATGCTATAAGTTTAATTAAGGGCAATCCATATTTTACTTACTGAGTTTATCTCATAGTTTTCCTTGTCCACCATTTCAGGAAGCGAAACTGAGGACGGGAAAACCACAGGAAGTGACGAGTTAGAAGGCTAGCCATTTCAAGATTGATATAGATTTTAAAAATAAATCATGATCTTGTAAACTAGAGTGTATTTGGAGATTTTATGATATCAGAGCAAATTTATAATTTTATCTTCAGATTTAGATGATATCGGATTGTGGTATGATAAGTTCCGAGCCTTGTGCATTGTGAGACCCGTCTCACAAGTGCACGGCATTTGTCGCGCCTCGAATTTGGGTTCTAGGGCGTGACAGAAAAAAGGAGCAAATGAACCCTCAAGTCCCATGATTGAAGCAAATTAGCACTAGCCCCTCCACTAACTGAGTGTCATGACGCTATTTGTTTAATGGTTTGCGTGACATTTAATTTACATGTTGAATCTAATGTGTCCTTCGTAATGTATAGGTGGGAATTATGGGAATTATTTAACCTAAACAACAAAAGCTTAAAACCTAAATTTAGGATGTGTGTGGGGTTGCAGTTGAGAGTTTTTTTTCATATAATCATATAATGCTTTTATATATGAGTTTATCTATGGCAAAACATCCAAATCCACCCCCCAAAGTATAGTGGCAGGGACAAATCCACCTATAAAATTTTTGACTTGAACAAATCACCTTAAATTTAATGTATGATGTCATCTAACATCAACAATCCGTTAACAATGAACTTATTAGTGACATAACAAAATTAATGAATTATTGATGTCAGATGACATCACACGTTAAATTTAAAGTTATTTGTTCAAATCAAAAACTTTATAAGTGGATTTGTCCTCATTTTTTGTTCAATGGTGGATCCGTCCCTGCCACTATATTTTAAGAGTGGATTTGGGCATTCTGCCTTTATCTATCCTGTGCCTTTAGAATACAAGATAAACAAACCCTTTATATATATGTGTGTATTTAGTAATTTTTTTCAGATTATTTTCTTTCAAAACTATAGAAAAGCACATCATATTTACAGTAATTTTATATATAAAGTCAAAACCCTTATTTTGAAGTTTTTTGTCTATGACTTTTACAGAAAACACATAATATTTAATATAATTATAAAATATCTCATTAAAATCTAACTTTATATAATTTATTTACATTACAATTTATAATATTTTAATAATTATAACAATTTTAAAAAGCTTAAATTGTTAAAAATAGTAAATATTATTTATTTTAATAATTATATATTTTACAATATTTTTTTAATTTTAATTAGTAATTAATAAAATTTATCATATTTCATCCATAATACTTTTAAAAAATAAATAACTAAACACTAAAATAACTTTCAACTACAGTTATAGCACAATATAATTCAGTATAATTACAGCCAAAACTACAGTTATAGCACTTCACAGTAATCCTAAATGCACCTTTAGTTATTAAACTTTAGAAAAAAAAAAAAAAAAAGGTCTTCTTTTTGTTAGTATATTGAAGAAATCTACTCTAAAGTATTTAATTTTTTTTCTTGTCTTTTTAATATCTCTATCAGTTAAGTACTAATATGGTTTTTTTTTTGTTAAAAAAATTTATTTGCTTTAATTTTTAATGAGTAAGAATTTATTTACATACAAATTTTACATATTACACTTATATAAAAAAATTCAACTATTCATTTCTTTACTTTTTAATAGTTGAAATTTTTTTATATATATTAAATATAATTATTTTTTATTCAAAAAAATTGATAAAT